TCGGTTGTTAGACGTGTAATACTATAACAAAGTCTGCCAAAAGATTGTGTTTTCTATTCAGATTCCATTTTCTCTCTCTTCAAATTGGATTCTCTTTTCATTTTTTCCTGCTATATTCTCTTTAGATTGGATCAGGTTCTTTGAATTTTGTCAGCACCGGAATGGTATTAAGTTCTAAGAGTCTCAGTTTTAGAGTGCCTTTAAGGTGTTTGTAAAAATGTCACAATGAGATTTTTAGTTTTGAATCGTAGTCCTAAATCTCCCCCCTCTATTAAAAGTGAAGCTCTTCTTCAGAATGTGTGAAATAATCTATAGAATTTCTTTACGCTTTGTTACAAACAGAACCACCTCATGTTAGAATAGTGAAAAAACTTGAATACATTACTCAATGTTTCGAATGAATTCCTTTGCATCCTTAAGGATTGATTCTTATGTTTGTATTGCTTTTGATTTTGTAGGGCTGGAATGAACTTTGGTTTTTCCCAAATGTCCTGGAGATCTAGGTTCTGGAGTTCAGTCTATTTTATCGCTCCTCTCTCTATGTGTTCAGCCATGCATGACTGCGAGCAACTTGCCCCTCTTAGGCTCTTACCAGGTATTTTATTTCTCTCTGCATTTCAGCTGAAGTTTTCATGGGATGGAAAATGTCATCTAACGTTTGGATTATAAGCTTATTTTATCCCAAACTATCATCAAATTCACAAATCTATCTTATTCTTTGACTTTTATAAAAAAAGACTCTAACTTCATCTTTTTCAACAATTATGCTTTTATGTTTGGTTTTTTCCAAATTACACATTTTTATAAATACGAATAAGATATAAGCAATTCGTGTTTGTAAACTCAAAACTTCAAAGAAATGAAAAATATGAAATATTAATATGCTTTTCTAAATGTGTTTTACTAATCCATCGATTGAAAATGTAATTATGAGAAAAATTGAAGTTTTAGTCTTTTTTTAATAAAAGTGAAAGTATGAGATATATTTGTGAATTTGATAATAGTTGGGGATATATTTAGCTAATAATCTTTATATTAATGGAATTTAAAGGATTTGTACTCATAGGCTTCTGAAATTAAAGGCAACATCAGATGTTCAATGCATCAATAAAACTCTACTTCTATTTTTTCGGATCCAGCTTTGGATGCTAAAAAGGATGCATATATAAATGGCCTAAAAACTGCATATTCATTTGTGTAAATGCGGCTTCAGGGGATAAATTTAATCTATATTTAATTAACTCACTTAAATTTTCTCCTGCCTACTATCGAGGTATTTACCTGCCACACCAATCCTTGGAGAAATATATGATTCAGATAGTACTTTTGGGCAACAAATCTAGGAAGTATATTTTTAGCTAACGCTGTAAATTTTGGTTTATACAGCGGAAAGATATAGAATAAGGTCCCTAACTCCCTATCGTTGCTTCATTAGCAGGCTATTCTTATCAATGCAGTCTATTTTTCCTCAGGAATTCTCTTTTGTGAATATTTTTGTACATTTAACATGCTTTTGGTGGGAAATTTGTATTATAAAATATAAAATGCATAGTGCATATATCTAAAAAAATCTGAATCCTTCGGCACGATTCCAACATTTAAGGGATGGCTTGAATGTATTACATTTATTTTCATGAGTACCAATGTACATAGCAAAAGGTAGGTTTTCAGTACAGGGTATCGAGTAAAAACGAACTATATTTATGCACTTCATTGCAAACCGTGGGTTTGCCACCCATGAAATGAATGATCACTTCTTCAATCTTTCCTCTTGGATTGAATGTTACTGTTCTAGAAATCCCTTTTGGTTTTCTGGTAATATATATTGGCAGCATTTTGGATTTAAAGTTGTTCTGGAAAGCGATTATCACAACTTTCAACCATAATGCACCAATGTGTGCCATAATACTTCCATCTGTTGTGAATTAGTATTCTATCTGAATTATACCTTACCAGTTTTCCAGTTTCTGTCACTTATCAGGATTTAAGGTTTTATAAGCAACAATGGAAGGGAAGAGAAAACCGATGTTTTTGTTTGCTCCTTCTTATTGGGCTAATGTTTTTAACGTATCAACGATAAGAACATAAAAAAGCTGTTTTTCTCTAATCATTGCCTTCTCTTCTTAATTGGTCTATGATAATAATTAGGTGAAATTTTATTTTCAAGAAGAAAAAGTTTTAGTTCTCTTCTATTTAAAACCTCTCTCCATGAGCTGCATATTTATAAAGTAATAGCAAGAAAGATTTTTTTACTTCCAACTGTACTTCTATTCATAGTCCTATTTGATGTAATATCTTCTAAAAGAACATAGTTAGTCGAGGGAAGTCTAGGCCTAGGCAGAGATTTGAGAGCGTGGGGTTGGTTATTAGGACCGGCGCACTCAGATTTGGTATTTTTATTTTGGTCATTTCATATGTAATTCTTTGTATTTGTATGGTAATGTGGAGTGTTGTCATAACCCTCACATTATGGCCTCTGCCGCTTTTCTTCTAACCAGCATTTCACTCTTATGATGAAGGCCATTTGAGAACGAGGAGCTACATGTTGAGTTTTGGGGCCGCCATAGCAACGCATGAATCGGGATGGATGGAGGCTGGAGCAGAGCCTGAAAGGTGACTGGAGACGGAGAGTCGTAGCTCGTCTCGCTCAGTTGCTCGCTAGCCCTTCAATCTTCACACTTTGGTCTTTCGCAGAATCGCAGTTCAAGCCACTTGTCCCCTTCGCTTCACGCCTTCACTTAGTTCACCCCTGCACCCTTTTTCTTTTGCTATTGAGCTACCTAATACGGAGTAGTAGTAATACTACTACTACTAAAAAAAGTGGGCCCTTCCAATTTTTTTGGGCCCTATGCAGTTGGGCTGTCCACACCCCCGACCCGGCCCTGATCAGGAGTAAGGTGAGCGCTTTTTATGCCTAAAGCGAGGGAGTACTCTATTGCCGTGAGTGCGCCTCATGACTTTGTATTGAATACCTTTGAGGATTTGAGTACTACAAAGGGATCAAATAATGTATGTAATTATTAGTAATAAAATTTCATCTAATTGTTTTGAATAAAATATGTTTATCAAATTTGGTGTATGTAATAGAATAGTTTGTATTTAAAAAATACTATACCTTCATATATGTGCATTTTGAAAGACATTCAATTATCGGGGTTTGATAAATGAATTATTTGTTTGGGTTTTTAAAATGGTTCCATACACCCAAAGGTGTGACATATTTGGTTTTGCTAAGATTAATCATAATCTAAAAGTGCTATTTCAACTATTAGAATTTTGGTAAAAAAAAAAAAACTATTAGAATTATATTTTTTTTAAAAAAAACTACTAGAATTATGGTACAATTACTTTTCTTTCAAACAACTCTCAAGTCTCAATCATAATAAGTCAAATATGATTAATGTGGGATAGTTTTGTATCACTAATTAATTTTTTTTGGAAGAACTACTAATTAATTTAATATCCCGTGCAACGCACGGGTAAAAGACTAGTTCATTTTAAAATATCATATTCATGCATATTTCAAAAGTATAATATTACATCAAATTTATATATTAGATTCATGCTGATTCAAATTTAACGATCAAAATCAATGAGCATACACAAATGAACTTTTGAATTTTTTGATACTCATTTTATAAATTATGTATGCTCATTTGATACTGCTTTGTGCTCGTTTTAAAATTCTGCGCATATCAAACATATCATACTACATTAGATTCACATATTGAAATTAATTATAAACATAAATTTTTTAAAAATTAAAAAAAAAACTGAATTAGAAGATGTGAAGTACATATCACTGGTGTTCATTGTTAGACTCCTAATACTCAGAAGAACGGATTCAATACTCATCCAAATTACATCAATGCTCATTTAAGAGAAACCATGAACTTCGTTAAAATTACAAAAATGCCACCGGCTGTACGGCGGCACCGGCTCATGATACTGTACCGTGCCTGCCGTACCCGTAGTTAGTTAAATACGGTACGGGAATTAAACGAGATTTAATACGTACGCATTTTATTCGGTAACATGAATTTAAAAAACGGTCAAAAATTCGTTGAAAAAAACGTTGACTTTTATAAAACGTGTAAATACGTATACGTGTATAATATGTTATCGGTTGCAAAAATACGGACAAAAAATACGGGGTAATATTTTGAACATATAAATTATATACTTCACACAAAATAACATATATAGTAAAAAGAATTAAAAGTATACACATAAACACATACGAAGTATTTTAGTAACAAATCTCATTACTACATAAAAAAATAATTCGTAATTCTACCGGAGAGCCTCCAATGAGGCGGCGATAAATTACAACTGATGTAATTAAGTCCAAGACATACTTTTGCAAAATAATGTCAAAATAATATGACAAAATAACAATAGAATGAGACTAAGTCAAAATCATTATCTTTCTGTTATCATCAATAACACTTAAGGTAAAGTCATCATTTTCATCAAGATGACGGATGACATATTGTTGATCACTTAAGTTTATACTAAAAAATGTCAGGTTTAGAAAAAACTTAACTTTGATATGCTTCTTTGAAAAAACATCGTAAATCTAGTAGTATTTTAAGTTTTTGTCCTTTAGGATGAATACTAAATTTAGTTTTAGCCATCATGCAATTAACTTTAATATTTAATAAATGAATAGTAACAATACAAAATACAAGATCATGAGGAGGACGTTTTTATTTTTACTTTTAAACTATTGTTGATCTCTTATGCATTTAATGCATTGGTTCAATTGTTCAATTCATGTTTCTGGTTTTGTAAAATACGGGAAAAATACGTTTTATACGGGAAGTAGGAGTTTTTTTTCCTTTTTAAACGGGCCGACATTATTTTTCGTTTTAAACGTGTTTTTTTAGCCAAAAAAACGGCACGTGTTTAAAACACGTTTAAAACGGAAAAAAAAAATAACTAGGCCCGTCAATTATTTCAAAAGAAAAACCGAAATTCAATGATCCTTTATGTGTATAGGACAACACCCTATAAGTCCGTCCTTACAAGTAACCGGTCTTCGAATTTGCTGTTTCCAGTCTACCGTTAGCCGGAATACTCTGGCGCTTAGACTCCTGCTCCCTCTCTTTCTCACCCCATTGACGAAGCTCCGAAGAAACAAGTTCAATCAAACGCTGCAATATTCTGATTTCGTCGATGAAGTCTGAAGGTTCCGACGGCTCTCGAGCTGAACAGCTCAAACTAAGAGCCAATGAGTCCTTCAAAGGTACCATCTACTTTATAGCCCGCTCTTGTATAAGCTGTAGAGTTAACTCTTAATTACACACTTTCATACTGGGGCATGAGCTGATTTTTTCATCTGAACTTTTTGAAATGAAATTTAGCGCATAAATTTGCTGAAGCCATTGAATTGTACTCACAAGCAATTGAATTGAACGGTAAGGAAGCGGTGTACTGGGCTAACCGTGCGTTCGCGCACTTCAAACTGGAGGAGTATGGCAGTGCTGTGGAAGATGCTACGAAAGCGATTGAGCTTGACCCTAAATATTCAAAGGCAGGTTGAGAATCTGGAAGTGAAGCAAGGTTTTTATAATTGGGATATTTCTTGTTTTAAGTTTTCTGAAGGGCTCCCATTGAATTTTTTAGGGGTACTATAGACGAGGTGATGCATATTTTGCAATGGGGAAGTTTAAAGACGCGCAGGAAGATTTTCTGCAGGTTGTATTCTCTCTGTCCCTTTAATAAGCATGGTTACTTGTGTGTGAAGTCACCGTACAAATGCTGAAAATCTTTATTGAAGGGCAAATGCAGAAAGTCATTATTCAGAGGCATATGCAGAATTATTTTCCAGAGATGTTAAGGATACTCAATGCAAAAGATGCCATCTTCTCACTATCTTCTTATTGAACGTTTTGTTTCTTCTTTATCTGGTGATTTAGGTCAGGAGATTATGCCCTAATGACCCAGATGCTCTAAAGAAATTGAATAAATGTGTGGCGGAGCTTAATTCTGAAAAAGCTATTTCTGTCCCTGAATCTGGTAAAAGATCAGTACTTTACTCTATTGACTCTATCATTCTATATGAAAGATGATATACACATATCTGAACTCGTGCTCTGTCCTGTTTTTTGTACTGCAAACTCAAATTAGTAAACATAGCAAGAAGTAACTGCTTGTTTAAAGGGAACAGGGAACATCAGGTGGATTTTCATGCGTGCTATTCATTTATCTCTTATTTTTTCTTTCTGAGATGTGACTTGATTTCATGGGTGGGGATTATAATTGATGCAAGAAATGCAATATGTGTATGGTATGAATTATGAAAGCACAACTTTCTCTGATATCATTCATTTTCAGTTTATCACAATGACTATGTCTTACAGATGGGCTTGTTGGTTTTGAAAACGCTGATGACATAGTGCTGAATTTAATAATGTGCTGAAACAAGTCTTTTAGCATCGTTCTATTCCATTCATGAAGGGTATTTGCGTTTAAAAATTGGTGTATTAGGCGTTATTAATTAGCTGAAAGTCTGAATGGATGAAAGTAGGGAATGGTGTTTGTGATTGGAACTTTGGCGGCATAATTATGTGACTCTAGGTAGGAGGCTAGGAGCTCTTAGGCTAAACCACATTTTCTAGTTTTCCTCAGGCCCCTCCCCCACTCTTCGCCAAGGTGTTAAAACTTAAAAGGCTAGTTTAGGTATCTAGGCAGTTTGTTCTGGAGAGGTGAGACATAAGCCTCAAAATATACCAACAAATAAAACTTCTAAAATTTAAAGTACTAAAAACTAACTAAATATATGCACAAGTATCTATCCAAAAAGAGTCAAAAGGCGCCTTGAGGCATAAGTTCCCTTATCTTGCAAAAGGGGAGTAAGCCTCAATTCATGTTCCATGCCCCTCAAAACGCGCTCTTAAGCACCTTTTTTAACCATGCTCCCCACCCCTAATAAAAAAATGGTATGAAGTAATTGTGTTGGTTGAGATTACCCTCTCTAATAAAACTTTAGTATAAAAGTAGCTTTTATGTGCTTAACTTCCGCCATGTTTATCTTTCATCTATTTGATAGTGACAGTAATGTTCATAGAATTTAATGGTGTTCTGATGTGCCCCCTTTTTTGGAATAATTCTCATTTTGGAATTTACTGCCACCTATTTATTTCTTTTTCTCCTACATAAATATGGGATTGGTGAAAAATGCTACAATAACCTTACAACCCTGGAGCTCAGTTTTGCTCCATAACAACTTTAATTTGAATTAGTATTACATTCTTTAAATCTCTCAGGAGTGAAATAATACATTTTTTTGTGTAATAGAAAGCATGTTCGCCTGCTTTTACCCTAGATGAATTTCAATATGATAATAACGCATGTGTCCTACGATTTAGTAGTAACCATTTTATAATTTTGTTTTGATGTTATAGGGTCAGGACCTGGCTATTCTTTTGCTTGCACCAAAGTAACTGATGTTGCATTAGCAGTCAGCATTATACTAATGGTAGTGGTGGTGGTATATATGAGCTCTAAATCAACCGCAGGGTTCTTGTCGGCAGGTTTGGCGACAGCATTATTGCTATTGGGACCATGTTGGTGGAACCGCTTCAATCTCAGTTTTCTTCCGAAGAGTAAAACAGTTGAATTAGGTTGAACTATTTATGTATAAGTAATTTTCTCTGACCCTAAATAAAGCTCACATTTTCCTTTATGGATCCGCCCCTAAACAAAGTCCTCTTTCCTTGTCTGTTAAATAATGTTTTTTATTACTTTACCACCCTCCATAATGCTCCAAACTGGCAACCACATAATCTTGGAAGTCAAAAGCAAAACATTTGATCCATCAAAAACCACTCACATGAAATGGATCACCAACCATTCTGGGAATTCTTTTGCGCATGGAGGGAGTATCAGTTACAGGATCACCAACTTTAGAAGAACATCAGTGAAATGATTGCAATTATTTGCAAAACACAACATACAGTTTTTTCTTAATAACTGAGAACAGCTATTTGCTGGGTTTTTGAAACTATGCTGCACAGTGTGAACCTATTATATTACTATCATAATATAATGCATGTGTTCTTACTTTACAATTATGAAGTTCTAGTAAACCTATTAAATTCTTAATTACTAGTAAATATATCATTCCACCAGCTTCCAGTAGTAGGATGGTGCATTCAACTATGTTTCCTCTATATATCCATTTGGTGATCTGTTCCACGAGTAGACCTTTTTTCATGCATTATATCTATGCTTAATATATTCTTCAGAATAGCTTCCAATTTGAGTTGTTGAAATTAATGTGAAATAAAAGTAGTCGATGAATTGCTAATCACAGTAGACAATGCACCAATGTTGTGTCTCAGGAATTGACTACACCTTTTCTTTATGCACTTGTAGGAATGGAGTCTCGGTATAGTGATGCAATGATAGAGGGAGATATTGTAACTTTAGATTTTGTGAAGAAAATGATGGAAGACTTCAAAAACCAAAAGAGTTTACAGATAAGGTACGACCATTTATCCGCATTGTTTTCACATTTTCTAACTGCACATGGCTTCTAAATGTTTACTATTTCACATTTTTTTCCATAGATATGCATACCAAATTGTTTTACAAACAAAAGAAATGCTGAAATCATTGCCCTCTCTTGTTGACATTGAGATTCCTGAAGGAAAGCATTTTACTGTGTGCGGTGATGTGCATGGTCAGGTAAGAAGCTATTATTAATTGCTGGGTTACTGTGCCTCTTCAATCAGATCATAATCCCATCTCTTACTCTATGTTGCAGTATTCTCTCACATTTGGAATTTCTTACTAAGGAAATATAATGTCACATGTATTCTTTCTGTTGGATCTACAATGACCTTAGAAAGTTCTGGTTTTTAAATATGTGCCATGCCGCTATGATGGAAATATGGAATGATATACGTAATTCATGTTTACAACTCTAGTTCCGTACTTCTATATTACCTGCATCATCATACAGGAGATTAGTATCAAAGGAATGTACTTAAACACCCTAGTATGAGGGATTAAGTTACTCACATTAGATGGAGATGTATCCCATAGAATCAGAGCAGGGTGGATGAAATGGAAGAGTGCATCAGGATGTCTATGTGATTGAGGTATGCCGACTAGATTGAAGGGTAAATTTTATCAGACAACAGGTGATAAGAACAGAAAAATAAAATCAACGGGGTGAACCGTTGCCCAGATAATCAACGATAAATAAATACCGTTGCCCAAAGCCAAAAGGCTAAACCAACTTTTATTCCAAGATGAGCCAGAATGAATCCTAACAAGGGGTTTAAATACCCATCTACTAATAAATAAACTAGTAAACAAAATCCTAGAAGTCCTAATCAACTCTAACTAGGAAACAGAATAATAAAGATCCTAATCAACTCCAAATAGGAAAGAAATAATAGAAATCCTAATTAACTCCTAATAGGAAACAAATATTAGAAATCCTAATTAACTCCTCATAGGAAACAAATCAGGAAAATTAAAAAGAATAAATATTAATTAAACAGCCCGTAACCTGCCCACGGAGGTAGGCTCAAGCCCGTCCCGCCTTCGGTAAACCCACGGGGGCTTCTTCCCCTCTTCTTCCAATCCCAGATTCTGCTTCATATCAATTCCATCCCTCTTCGAAAAAACCTTGTCCTCAAGGTTGAAATCCGGAAACCGGCTCATATTTGTCCCCGGGGGCTGCCCCGTATCTTGAGGAAAGCTGCCACTTGATCTTTTCAGCTTGTTCATGAAATACCCCAAGTAATAATCATCGGACAGTCCGGGAACCTGACTGGCCAATTGAACAAAAAGGTTATTATATTCCTCTACGGTTCCACTGTTTGACCCTGAACAGCCGTTTGAATTGGCTTTCTTTGAACCGTGAATCAAATCGGGCCACCTGTGCTTGTGTAAATTTCTCCCAGGTCATGCTCGGTTTTTGTGCCTTCAAGCAGGTCAACCCGTCCAAGGCAGCTCCGTCCATGACTACCGTAGCTGCTGTCACTTTCCTCTCAGGTAGGGTTTGATTAATTTCGAACTTTTGCTCAGCCCTAACTATCCACCTAATCGGTTCTTTTCTGTCGAACATGGGCAGCAACGTTGGAGGAGTGCTGTGCGGAGATCCGTCGTTGTGTGTTGCTGCTACGATGGCGGCACCAATGACTGTGTCTGATGGTGTCTCCGTCGTGATCGATGGCACAAGGGCCTTGGTCAGCGCCGCAAGGGATGCGGCGATCTCAGTCAGCCGCCTACTGTTTGCTTCCAGGGTTTGCTTCATCTCTGACAAATGTTCACTGATAGATCTCGTCATTCTGGCGGGACAGGATCCGACAGGTCAGACCAATTGATAAGAACAGGAAAATAAAATCAACGGGGTGAACCGTTGCTCAGATAATCAACGATAAATAAATACCGTTTCCTAGAGCCAAAAGGCTAAACCAACTTTTATTCCAAGATGAGCCAGAATGAACTCTAACAAGGGTTTTAAATACCCATCTACTAATAATTAAACTAGGAAACAAAATCCTAGAAATCCTAATCAACTCTAACTAGGAAACAGAATAATAAAGATCCTAATCAACTCCAAATAGGAAAGAAATAATAGAAATCCTAATTAACTCCTAATAGGAAACAAATATTAGAAATCCTAATTAACTCCTAATAGGAAACAAATCAGGAAAATTAAAAAGAATAAATATTAATTAAACAGCCCGTAACCTGCCCACGGAGGTAGGCTCAAGCCCGTCCCGCCTTCGGTAAACCCACAGGGGCTTCTTCCCCTCTTTTTCCAAGCCCAGATTCTGCTTCATATCAACAGGGTCTGCACTAATGTATGACGTAGAGTGTTGGGCGGTGAAATAATGTCACATTCAAAAGATGAGTGTGATAGAGATGTGTATGTTGGACATACCATAAAAGACCGCTTGAGAAATGAGATAATCAAGCAAAAAGTGAGAGTACCACCTATAGAAGATAAAATGCAAGAGGTCTCAATTGTTGTGGTTTGGTCGTGTGCGTAGAAGACTGAATGATGCACCTGTTAGACGAGTTGAGAGGTGGGGAGAAGAGGTGGGAGGAGAAGGAGAGGAAGACCCAAACAAACTTGGATTAGAAGAATTGATAAGCTTCTTCTTGGGTTGGATGAGAGTATGGCTTTAAAGAGAGAGCAGAGTTGAGGGCGCATATTCGTGTGGAAGATTGATCTCTTCTCTCTCTCTTTTTCTTTTACGGAGTATCTTTCATCTTCTTTATCTTTCTATGTTTTGATGTTATTTTTATCTTGTAGTTGTATCTTATGTTTTTTTTGTTTTTTTCTTAACCATTTTGTCTTACTTTATCTTTTTATTTTTCTTATATTTCTTCTCCTTTTGGCCCTGCTATCATATATCGATTCATGTTAGCTGACCCCAAAATCGTTCGGGAATAAGGCTTGGATGTTGTTGTTGTAGTATTTGATAGAAATGGTGCAAGGCAATTCATGTGTTGAATGTTGATAGATAAAAATATCTATGGCTGTAATTCATCTTGAAGGCGTGGAAAAAGGACCAATTAGGTGTTCTGTTTAAAGCATTTGGCTAGTTATGCTGCTACCATTTTATGGTTTGCAAAGCATTTATTTCCGGATTCCTTTTGTAACCTTCTACACTTGTGGATGCAGTTTTATGACCTCCTAAATATTTTTGAGCTCAATGGACTTCCGTCTGAAGATAATCCATACCTCTTCAATGGTGACTTTGTTGACAGAGGGTCTTTCTCTGTTGAAGTCATATTGACACTATTTGCTTTGAAGTGCATGTGCCCATCAGGTAACCAGCACGCGCACTACTGTTTGCTCTCATGTGCATGTGACCATTGCCTATCATTTCTTTAATTAACTATTGCATCTCATGATTAACAGTTAGAATCTTCAGGTATGTATCTATCTCGAGGCAATCATGAAAGCAAAAGCATGAACAAAATATATGGTTTTGAGAGCGAGGTTCGTTCCAAATTAAGTGAAGCGTTTGTGGGGCTTTTTGCGGACGTGTTCTGCTGTCTACCCTTAGCTCACGTGATTAATGGGAAGATCTTTGTTGTTCATGGAGGACTTTTTAGTGTTGATGGTGTAAAGCTCTCTGATATTAAAGCTATTGATCGGTTTTGTGAGCCACCTGAACAAGGTATCTTCTAATGAAACTATGAAAGTATTGATGAATGTATGCTTGTTTTTATGTATTTATTATATCTGCGCTAAACATGCTCTTTTGGTTGTCTATTTTATGTTTTGACAGCTAGTATTTTGGTTTACTGCTTGCGATATCTTTCTGTCCATGAGAAATAAGTACTATTTTATGTTTTGACAGCTAGTATACGGGAACTCTTTAGAAACTCTCCGAACACTTTTTTTCTATTAAACCGCTACATTTCCCGATTCCCGCTTCTCCATGTTCCCCACGTTTCCGTGTAACATAGGTTTTGACTTTTGAGGTTCACCCATGCTCATCAATGTTATTTTGCCTATTGGAGGTATTTATTGTTCATGGTTTTATATCATAGGGGCCCTTGTTCGGTATGATTATGAGGTTTTTTAAAACTAAAAACCATATTTTAGAAACTAAAAAGGTAGTTTTTAGTTGATTTAGCTGTTTCAAAATTAACAAATTAGTATAAGTATGACTAGTTTTGGTTTATTTTACGTTAGATACTTAGATGTCATTTTACTTTTAAAATCACAGAACCAAAAAGGCAAAAACTAAAAACTGACAAGTGACAACACCCCATGGAGGCTTCAATTTTGCATTTATTATGCATTTAAGCAATTTAGGTGCTAACATATAAACATAGTATAATTGTATACAGCACTACCTAGATTTTTGAAATCTGTATTAGGGTTGAATCTAAATTATTGGCTTAATTGCTTCATACTTCTTGGCCATAACATTTCCAGGGTTGATGTGTGAAATGCTGTGGAGCGATCCACGACCACAATTTGGAAGAGGACCTAGTAAACGGGGTGTTGGTCTTTCATTTGGTGGGGATGTAACAAAACGGTTCTTGGCAGAAAATAATCTAGGTGCTTTTATTTATCTCCCACTTTCCTTCTTATTAGCCGAACCCAAAATGGTTCACAATTTTCTTATTAATCACATGAGCTAAGGGTTCACACTAAAACGGTTCACAATTTTCTTTATTACTGTCTTTGACGTTTAGCCGAACCCAAACTCTTGGACTACGGCTAGGATGTTGTTTTACTGTCTTTGAGGTTTAGCCGAACCCAAACTCTTATGGCTTCACGGTCAGAATTTCTACCAAAATTGTTATTAATGAAAAAATGTAGGGCTGGCGGTATTGTTTTTTGCTGAAGTTGATCATTTTAACCTTCTTCATGCAATATAATTATTTTTTCAGTAAATATATTGTATGTATATGTTTTTCACAAATCAGCAATTTAATTTTTACCAAACAGTCTCCTAGTATTATGATTTAAAAACAAAATTTCTTTATATACTTATTTCAGACTTAATTGTGCGATCTCATGAAGTAAAAGATGAAGGCTATGAGATTGCGCATAATGGTAAACTCATCACTGTATTCTCTGCTCCTAACTACTGTGATCAGGTACCCTGCTTCTGAGTTTTCCTCTTTTCTATAACTCGTTACTCTATGAATTTATGGTAAAACTATATATCGTTGAGTGACAAGATGTTGGTGTGGTTTTTTTTATTGATGATGGGATTAATAAAATAGTCATCATCATTACCCAGTACTGCAAAGGCTCCCACCTATGGTGGGGATCGATAAAATAGTATACATGCTAAATTGCTAATATGTGTTGTACTGCTTTGTCTGCTTACATAAAATAAGTTGGTCTATTTTAATGTTCATCTCCTAAAATGTGAATGTTAAATGGTGCAGTTGGGTAACAAGGGAGCATTTATCCGCTTTCTTGCTCCTGATCTTAATCCCAATATTGTCACATTTGCAGCTGTTGTAAGACTCTAGCTTCTTGACCTATTTATCCATTTGCTTTTTAATATTCCTTTTATTGCATTTACATTTGCTACACACCCTCTATACATTTATGGATACTACCTCTGCCCAAAATTAAGTTCCCATTCACCATTCACCAAAATTAAGTTCTCTGATTTTATATATTACACTTTTTTCAAATTTGAATTTGGTTTTTACGGTGTAAAAGAACTTTTAGTGTTGTTTTTTAAATCATAACTGTTAATACTACTCTGTTTGCATTGTCAAGAAAGATTTGATTTCATCATCAATCAAACATCGTAAACCAAAACTCTATTTTCTTTTGGTATTGATGGAGTACACAGATGTGGGGGGGGGGGGGGGTCATGTTTGTAGTTATACTTTTAGTTTTTCAAAGGATGCCTTTTTAAACATCCTTATCCTTGTTACATGCCACACTCCCATTTATTCTAGACGTGGCCTCCTCCACTGAAAGACCGCCCTCAGGAGGGAGACGTGTTAAAATTTAATATGAAGTAATTTAAAAGTTGAAAGTCGTACCTTTTTAAAAGTCAGTTAGTGTGAAAGTGCCTCTTTCAAATTTTAGAGTATGTTTTTCTATTTTCTACTCATTTCTCACTGCGAGACAGTTTTTTATCTTGATTGCATTGGTGGGAGTATTTTTAACTTCAACTGATTTGCTGTGCATGTATAACATTGAAACTCCAGCCGCACCCTAATGTCAGACCAATGGCATATGCCGACAGCTTCTTCCAAATGTTCTCTTAGTTCCCACACAACCGTATTATGCACGTCGCCGACATAAATCATGGTTCTGAAAGGCAGGAGAAGAGTCGAGAGATGCCTCAGACAGTCAGATCTTGTTGACATTACCCTTTGCTTGCCATGCATGATTTTTTGGGGGGGCCTCTAACTACCTCACTGCTTATAGGAATTCTTATAGGACTTGTATCTTGTATGTTGACAAAATATAGGTTTGTAGTATCAACGACACGTTTGAAAGATACAAACTGGTGCGACTATAAACAGTTTATACTTTCCGCCAAGAATGCATTCTCACCATTATATATATATGTATCCACCATCCATTATTAATGTAACATTGTTAGATCTCCCATGGGATATGAAGGGAATCCAGAACAGATTCCCACACTTTTCCACTTCTCAGTAGTTGAATACTTGAATCCGTTGGATTTCATCTTCACTTAAGAGTTACGGCCTCCATGTTCTCTATTGTGCTAAATGTTCATCTACAGTTATGCACTTTTTTTTTAAACTCCAGGGGGGTCTGGGGGAGGGGGGGCTGGGGGAGCCTGGAGTAATCAGGGCTGAAACTCACTCCATTGAGTTTCAAATCCTTCTGTGTGTCTAGCGGGATTCGAACTCGAGACCTTCCACTAGGCACGGTAACCTCGCAACCAGCTAGGCTGGAGTGCTTGGTTACTGGTTTTGTCCTTTGTACCAACTCATTTGCTTCATTTTCATTTGATTAGTTTACCAATTTATGGAGGAATGTAGTGCTATAAGTCTGTAATAACTAATTGCACTTCAAAAAGTTATTATACGAGAATACTATAATTGCACATTTGCATGAAAGCTTGTTTGTAAATTTTTTCGTATTTTTACTACAATTATTTGTAATCGTATATTTATTATTTTGCAATCACTACTAAATTAGTATTCTAAAACAAATATTCATATATATTGTGCAGGAGTATTTTTATGTTATAGTTGAATATAATTGTTACCAATTACCCGGTAGTAGTCAAAGGCTTAAAATACTTACTCTCACAGAAATTACGGAGTACTTAGTATTTTTAAAAATAAGGATATTATCACTAAATAGAAATAATCACTATCATGCTTGAGAAATATCATTAATTATGACCTTTAACACTGTCATGTTAATGTTTGATAATATCAAAATATCTAAAAATTTATAAACACCAATGATGGTTAGGGCATTTTAGTAATGATAAAAATGTTGGTGTAACACTAAAGCAAATTGCACTTGTACAATTTATTTTAAACATTGTAACATTCATCATTAACCCTATGACTTCTCATTTACCTCCGTTCAATCCTAACAGGAGAGTTTCCAACGTTATATCATCTATGATTCTATGTGCTTCGAATTATAATTATGCTATTCATTTGATTGCCTTACTTTCCATTCCATGTTTTTTTATTTAATTTTGCATTTTAAACTTTTTGCATCTTACGCAATTTTTTATCTTTTTCTCTTTAGAATGAAGCGTGATTCATTATTATTGTATTATTGTTAGAAGATTCTTATTTTTTGTTGAGGAGAAGATTATTATTAAGAGTCTCTTTGGTGATCCTGTTTTTCAGCTTATCAGTTTTATGAAACAACATTTTCACCTAATACAGAACTTTTTATTTCAAGCGTTGAATTGTATAATAATCAAAATAGAGTTGAAGTTACTTGGCTCGTTGAATTGGCTTAAGTTATGGATAAAAGATCTGAATAATTTAAGAATGTAAAACTTACTACCTCCGTCCCGGTGGACTTTGCCAAGTGCAAAGTAAGAGAGAAATAAGAATAGTAAAAATTATGTGGTTGAAACTTGTGCAGAGGAGAGAGAAATGTACATGATTACAAATTAGTTGTTTTAATAGTAAAGTGGCAAAAATTTTGGGACAACAAAAAAGAGAAATTTGACAAAGTCCAATGGGACGGAGGGAGTAATATTTAAGCGTTTTTGAATAATTTAAACTCGTATATTCTACATCTTTTTAGAAGTGTTTATATATTAATTTTATACTTTTTACGGTTTCATTTTTCTGATCTTTTTACAACTTCTAAAATTATTTATCTTTATTTTTATGATTGATTATATTATTATTACTCTTTTTCAAATTTATGTGAATTTTTATAAGACTTTTTAATTTTCCTATTTTTAAAAAAATAACCTGCTATAACATGTCAAAATGGCTTGAGTGATTGTGTTTCCAAAATAAGCGTACTCATATGCTACTTTTTTTGGTATAGAGGCTCAGGTGATAGATTTGAAATAGTTAAAGATTCTATTTGACTTTTCTCCCCAAAAATGGGGTGATATTCTGCCCATTGTTTTGGCAGAATATTACCCCATTTTTAAATGAGATGATATTCTTGAGTGATATTTAACTTTGCACTCCATTTTAAAAATCACTAATATATAGTATGCACTCCATTTTAAAAATCACTAATATATAATCTCTCCGTCCCGCTAAGATTGTCTCAAACACTATTCACTTGGTCAACACAAATCACTCTTAATCTCTTACTTTATATATCAATTTGTTATCAAATTTGATTCTGGTTTTTGCGACTTTGTAAAGTTTTTAATTTTGTTTTTAAATATGTAATTTTATTTTTCTAAAAAAAATTGAATGCGGACAGGGATCTGTTTTCTTTATCGTCGGTCGAGCATTGTAAACCGAATTGTCCCAAACACAGTGGGACAGAGGTAGTAGTATGCACTCCAAGAGTGGATCGAATTAGCGTGCATACATTAATGATTTTTAAAATAGGGTGCAAGGTCAAATATCACCCTAAAAATGGTGTGATATTCTTAATCTCAGCTCCCATTTTCAAAAGAGGAGTAAGTGTGGATCGTTGCACTTACCGTTATACTAAAAGTAATTGTTGATAGTGTAGCACACCTTCCCCTGATTTCATTTAGATCAGAAAAAAATGGATTTGATCATATCAACTCAGAAAAATTCTTCTCACATCAGAAAGACCAGGCCATATCAGATAAGAAGGATTCACACCATATTAGAAAATTCCAGACATTATTTTTTATTATGTTTGTTATTACTAGATGATTCTTATATTTTTATTAATTAAGAAAAAGATTGTCATTAAGAGCCTCTTTGGTGATTCTCTCTTTTCGGCTTATCAGTCTTATGAAACAACTTTTTCACCAACATGCAACTTTTGATTTCACACGTTAAATTATATAATAATAATAAGTAAGATTGAAGTTACTTTTGTTTGCGGAGACTATATACGGTGCAAAAATAAAGCTAAAGCTTTAAGTTATAGAAATAATTTTGGGCATTTTCTCCATCGCGCAACGCGCGTGATAAAAACTAGTAACATTTATGAAGGATAATTTCTAAATGTAGGAGTAATAACAAGACTTCAAAATCATTAATAAAAATATAAGAATCATCTAGTAATAACAAACATAATAAAAAATAATGTCTGGAATTTTCTAATATGGTGTGAATCCTTCTTATCTGATATGGCCTGGTCTTTCTGATGTGAGAAGAATTTTTCTGAGTTGATATGATCAAATCCATTTTTTTCTGATCTAAATGAAATCAGGGGAAGGTGTGCTACACTATCAACGATTACTTTTAGTATAACGGTAAGTGCAACGATCCACACTTACTCCTCTTTTGAAAATGGGAGCTGAGATTAAGAATATCACACCATTTTTAGGGTGATATTTGACCTTGCACCCTATTTTAAAAATCATTAATGTATGCACGCTAATTCGATCCACTCTTGGAGTGCATACTACTACCTCTGTCCCACTGTGTTTGGGACAATTCGGTTTACAATGCTCGACCGACGATAAAGAAAACAGATCCCTGTCCGCATTCAATTTTTTTTAGAAAAATAAAATTACATATTTAAAAACAAAATTAAAAACTTTACAAAGTCGCAAAAACCAGAATCAAATTTGATAACAAATTGATATATAAAGTAAGAGATTAAGAGTGATTTGTGTTGACCAAGTGAATAGTGTTTGAGACAATCTTAGCGGGACGGAGAGATTATATATTAGTGATTTTTAAAATGGAGTGCATACTATATATTAGTGATTTTGAAAATGAAGTGCAAAGTTAAATATCACTCAAGAATATCATCTCATTTAAAAATGGGGTAATATTCTGCCAAAACAATGGGCAGAATATCACCCCATTTTTGGGGAGAAAAGTCAAATAGAATCTTTAACTATTTCAAATCTATCACCTGAGCTTCTATACCAAAAAAAGTAGCATATGAGTACGCTTATTTTGGAAACACAATCACTCAAGCCATTTTGACATGTTATAGCAGGTTATTTTTTTAAAAATAGGAAAATTAAAAAGTCTTATAAAAATTCACATAAATTTGAAAAAGAGTAATAATAATATAATCAATCATAAAAATAAAGATAAATAATTTTAGAAGTTGTAAAAAGATCAGAAAAATGAAACCGTAAAAAGTATAAAATTAATATATAAACACTTCTAAAAAGATGTAGAATATACGAGTTTAAATTATTCAAAAACGCTTAAATATTACTCCCTCCGTCCCATTGGACTTTGTCAAATTTCTCTTTTTTGTTGTCCCAAAATTTTTGCCACTTTACTATTAAAACAACTAATTTGTAATCATGTACATTTCTCTCTCCTCTGCACAAGTTTCAACCACATAATTTTTACTATTCTTATTTCTCTCTTACTTTGCACTTGGCAAAGTCCACCGGGACGGAGGTAGTAAGTTTTACATTCTTAAATTATTCAGATCTTTTATCCATAACTTAAGCCAATTCAACGAGCCAAGTAACTTCAACTCTATTTTGATTATTATACAATTCAACGCTTGAAATAAAAAGTTCTGTATTAGGTGAAAATGTTGTTTCATAAAACTGATAAGCTGAAAAACAGGATCACCAAAGAGACTCTTAATAATAATCTTCTCCTCAACAAAAAATAAGAATCTTCTAACAATAATACAATAATAATGAATCACGCTTCATTCTAAAGAGAAAAAGATAAAAAATTGCGTAAGATGCAAAAAGTTTAAAATGCAAAATTAAATAAAAAAACATGGAATGGAAAGTAAGGCAATCAAATGAATAGCATAATTATAATTCGAAGCACATAGAATCATAGATGATATAACGTTGGAAACTCTCCTGTTAGGATTGAACGGAGGTAAATGAGAAGTCATAGGGTTAATGATGAATGTTACAATGTTTAAAATAAATTGTACAAGTGCAATTTGCTTTAGTGTTACACCAACATTTTTATCATTACTAAAATGCCCTAACCATCATTGGTGTTTATAAGTTTTTAGATTTAGATTAGATTATATTAGATATGATAGGGTGCAAAGTCAGAGATTTTTTAAAATCTGGTGCAAAATCCAATATCACCCAAAAAGTGGAGTGCAAAGTCAAATTCTCTCAAATAAATACAGTGTAGTTTAGCTGTA